TTTTTGAGGTCTGTGAAGTGAAAGGACTGAGTTTGCTTACTTTAAATTCAGGATTTTGACTTCATAAAGGAAAATCCTTCTTTGTTTCTAATTGATTTTTTTTTTTTTTTTGTCCTTAGCTTCAGAAATGGAGCAGTTAAGAATCAGCCCAGCTACTATGCTGGAAGACGAGATTACTTGGCTGGATAACTTTGAACCTAATCGCACAGCTGAATGTGAAACCAGTGAAGCAGACAACATCTTATTGGCAGGACACTTACGACTCATTAAGACCCTTCTTTCACTCTGTGGGGCAGAAAAGGAAATGCTTGGTAATTACTGCTTCCTCTTACCAAGTGGCAGAATACCCCAGCTCTCTCGTTGTGTGTAATTGGGAAAATAAGATAGATGCTGAAATGTTCCATAGAAAATTGACCCTGCAGGCAGTAGGGGATTGTCTGGAATTTTAGCGGCTAACAGATTTAAGGTGTATTTTACTTTTGTCACTAGGATCACATAGAAAATTTACAGTGTTCAAGGTAATTGGATCATACAGCTTAATAACAAGTAAAAATTACAATTCAGAGTAGGTTTTTTTGTTTGTTTTGCTGTTATATACTTTATAATATATAATCTATTGTGTACCTTATTTCTTTTGAGTGGTGTTTCTCATCTGGGGAGGCAGCCCCCAACTGCCACCTCCAGGTAGAAGGGTACATATGAAATTCTCCTGGGGTACACATGTATTTTGTAAAAGCATATTTCATGTTATAAATTATATTCAGAAAATTAATTAGAACATTACCTGTCACTTTTATAACACAAAGTTCTACAAAATCTTTTTGGCTACTGGGGATACATAGAAAAGAGTGATTCTCAACATTTTTATCTAAAAAAGGCAAAGTTTAAAAAGTGTCAAAACCCTTATCTGGACTAATTATTCACCCAAACCATTCTGCCTTGTGGTGTCCTTGGCACTTACATTTCCAAAGGAGAAGTTTGACTCCCTTCACCGTATTGCAAGCCCATAAAGGAAGGCACTCTTGCTTGTCTATCTTATGTCCTATCCTCTGACCCACCCATCCACCTACCCTGCATCCTGCCCCACAGAGCCTTGCTATATAGTAAGCACTCAAAAATAAGCATTAAAGTAAATTTAAAGCCGTCCCATTAGGTGACCTTGGGTGCTTTTGCTGCTCTGATATGAAAGTTCAAGACGAATTAAAATGTAAGTGTTCATCCTCAACATGAATATTATGCTCTATTCCAGGTTCATCACTCATTAAACCATTGTTAGATGACTTCCTTTTCCGAGCTTCTAGAATTATTTTAAATAGTCATTCTCCAGCTGGCAGTGCCGCCATCAGTCAACAGGACTTTCATCCAAAGTATGGAAAATGCACGTTGTGTTCAGTTTTGGTAAAAATTCTAATTTGAAACTTTAGTTCAAAAAGATTTTATTAAGTTGGCATTTGTCTTCCACCTTGTGTGTGTCTTATATTATCCACTGTATAAAGAAATGCCTGTAAAGAGACTTACCATAAAACTAGCCTGGCCCACAGTAAGTGCTGAGCAAGTATGGTACTGCATTGTTCAAGCAAATGACACATGCCTTCTGCCTTGGTTTGCCAGCTGTGCCCTGCCCCTTGCGAGGTATTTTCATAAACACGCTATGCTAATTTTTTTTTTTTACAGCAACATGTGGAAGAGGATTGACATGGCAGTGCTTGTGAGGGTACCTTGCAGGGGGAGGGCAAGGCCTGCAAAGAAATGCAAAAGACGTGCTCTTTGTGTAAAATATGGTAATACCATTATAATCATTGGAGGAATAAATAACAATGTGGTTAACTTGGTCAGTAAACAAATTCCAAGGGAAACCAAGCTTATAAGAATTATGTCTAAAGTGAAAGTAAGTAGGCTCTGAGTAAAGTCTTGTGGGTTTCTTCTCTGAGGAAAGTATAGGTGCTTTAGTGCATGAACTGTGTTATTTACTGACAGTGACTGTGTCCTGATCATTGAAACTGCTAGTGATTTATTGCAGTGTAATTTTAGAATCAAATTTTGTATTTTCATGAGTAGAAATTTGAAAGATTCCTTTGTAACTGTGACCCTATCTGGATGGTATTTATACTGCTGAAGATAGGAAAAGGAGGTGCCTATAAAGCTGTCATCTC